TACAATTATTTTATGTAGTGATATTAGTTGAATAAAAGAATTTATGTAGGATGTATATCAAAATGTTGCAAATTTCTGGGTATTAATTTCTTACTTAATATATAATTTCCTTCATATACATGAGATAAATAACTATTTGCTCTTTGTTGAGTTAAGTTTTATTGTTTAATTTAATGCAACAACTTGCAAATATAATACATATTAGTAAAATACAAACAAAAAATCATTATTATTTTAAGGGAAATATTTAATAAATTTTTGAAAGTGATGGGAAAGGGAAAATTTTCCATCTCTTGAGAATAAAGAAAGGCAATATTTCATTATCAGGTTGTTCTAACGACTCTATATTTGTTACTGTTTAGAAAATGTCCAAGCAATGGTTAATAAGCCACCTTATTTAGGTGGGAATAACACTTTCATTCTAAAGGTTTAGCCTACGTAATTTTACCCTTATATATTCATAATCTTACAGTTTCATCCATATATTTTAGTTACCTTTCTTTCCATGGTGGAAGGTGTTTATTGAATATTAGTTCATTTTATAATGTAAATTTACAAATTTCGAATAAATCATGATAGAATTTGAGGTGGGTCTGATTCCTCACCCAACAAGGTCTTATTGAATGGAAGAATTATCCTCTCTTATATCGCAGTAGACTTAAGCGTGTCTAATTAGTGTGAGACTTCAACAAATCAAATACATATTAAATAATTACTATTATAAATGTTTTTAAAACTTGATTAATTGTATCAAAACCAATGCCCTAATCTACAACACAATCATTTGAATTGATTTTTTTTTTTTTTTTTTGAAAAAAAAGCCAATCAATAGAAAGCTTATGTGAATTAATATTCTAATATTTACTATAGCTTACATTTTAGTAAAAATATAATTTACTATTTCCTTTTTTGTATAAATATTTTAATTATATGTTATCTGAAAACATTATTACTATGTTTTCGACAATTTATACCACTTCCATTCCTTCAAACAAATCAAAAACTTTTTACACACTAATGGGAACAAGGTTGGCATGATCACTTTGTATAACCAGTGCGATGAAGCATTGGTTAGTGTATTGGAGACACCGTACGGTATAGGGAACCTATAATGATGAAGCTTGTAGGGTCGATCGTTGATGTGACGTGGTCTCATGCAACCTGCATGAGTGTCCAACACCGCAAGCTAGGGTGTGCAAGTCTGGCTCACAACGTTGCCACGATTGACCCACCACCATGAAGGCATCAGCTTTTCTTGATTTATGTTCTTTGAAGTTTCAAATCCTCCAATTTGGGTATCGAAGACTGAGGTTTGGTTTTGTGTTGATTTGGGAATTGAGTGCATTTTTGTTTTTTTAACACTATTTCTCAGTCAAAATGCCATTTTTACTAACACAATCTGGTATAGGGGTACAAATGTTAGTTTTGAAACTTGTGGGTAAGCATGTTCTTTTAGTAAACTAGGGGTGTCAATTAAATGATACAAAAATATGTATTAACATATTGCATTGTTGCTAAAACGAAATTTCCAAAGTCAGTAGTTCAACAACTTCTATTATTATAATTAGCCTCCATTGATGAAGTCCTCCCACGTTACAAATTAAAAACCCTCATGGGGCGTTTGGTTCATGGAATGTTAGAGCACTAGAAAGTTAGATTAACTTGAAGATTGTTGAGAATTTTTTGGAAAATATATTTGGTTAATTGGTGGGTATGTTATATTAATATGTTTGGTTGGGAGGAATAAATTGGTGGGTATGTTATTTAAATTATTGAATTGTCTTCTAATTAAATATTATTTTTTAATATTGATTATTATTTGGATTATTATAACCCCCCCCCCGGCGACACATTTAAAAACTTAGCAAAAACAATCTCATAATAAAAGTTTGAAAAATCAACAAAGCACCCCCACCAACCGGTCAATGGCCAGATCGATGACCGTCAACGACCACAGATGTGGCCGTTGACGGCCAGATCGGATGGCTAGATCTAGCATGATCTTGCCATTTCCGGCCAGATATTGGCGGAAAATGGTCATATCAGTGCACGACGACCATTTTCGGACTTCAATGTGCCGTTCCAGTGGTGGTGGTTGCCGGCGGTAGGTGGGTGGGGGTGGTGGCTTGGGTGGACTGCAAATTGTTTTGAATTCAAGGGTAATTTTGTCCAAAAAGTTAATTAATTGGGGTGAAATAGTAAAAGCCAAATTCATGTAAATAAATTTAAAAATAAGGGCATTATTGTCCTAAAATTTTATTAATAAGGGATAGAATTGTAACAAAAAAAAAAAAAAAAGTAATCTTAGAATACATAAGAAAATAAAGGTAATCAGATTACCTTCAATATTACCAACATTAACTACTATTAATATTTGAAGATTACTAGAATTTTATATTACTTGATAACCAAACGTAGTAATAAAATAATATAAGATGACATAACTCCAATAATCCCATATTACCCCCAACCAAACGCCCTCTCAATATTCCAACTTTTAAATTAAGGTTCCTTTGTCATCTATTGTTCATATTTATGATTTTAGAGAGGGTGACTCAACCGTCGGCTGAAGGGGTAATCAAGTAAACAATTGTAAACTTAGACTCTAGTGCCTTTATAAGTTATTTAATTATTGAGTAGTCATATATGCACAAATAATATGTTCATATATGAATATCTTATGTTCAACAACTACCGCGTAAGACGAACCAATGAAATTAATTTACATTGTCAACTCCGCGCTCCAGTACAACAAGCTTTAATCAAATGTTCATGACAGGGAAGAAAATTGTCTCATCGAAAAAGTTGTTAACGAAATGCGCTTGTTTTATCGAATAACTTCAGCGACCGGCTTACCAGAAATGCGCTTGTTTTATTCTGAATTTTTTGAGAGGCCATATAGGAATCCCTAGTGTTTTCCGAATCCATAGTTTTGCATGGAATCTTTCACGTTGGCAACTCTCCAAGGGAGTAGCTGCTCATCTTCTCAACATTATGACGGTTCACATCTTTGAGTTGGGTTTAGAGAAAGCAGTAGCTGCTCATCTTTTCAATATGTTCTCTACAGAGACTGAAGAGCCTGTGGAGAGGATGAGTGTACTCAATTATCTTTTTGATGGAAATAGCTTCCTTCTGTTCAGCGATCTCTCTTCCATCACAACCTCTACTCATTTTGTCAATGATCCATCTACCTGGAATCGTTCTCTGTCGTTCCAGCTGCAGCTCCTTTTTTATAGGATATCAAAATATAGGTTAATTTCTTTCCCTCCATCATGGTTAATTAAAACTCTCCCTGTTCTCTTATCTAACCTAAGATGATTTCTGAAAACTATTGTTATAAGAAAGCTCTCGATCGGTTTTTGTATTTGTTCTTGATTTTCTTCTTCTGTTTTCTGTTTTCTGTCTTCTTTTATCTTATTTATTGCTAATAATTGTGTTTGTCTCACATACTAATTTGGTAGACTGTTATGGTGTATATATGCAATTAAACTTCCTTCTCCCTTGAACTAGCTTTTGGGGTGAGTTTTATCCAATCTAGTTTATTATAGGTTGAAAAGGATACTATGTTCATTTCATCATGTTTGGAAAGTCCTTTTTCCCTCCCGTTATCAGTTAGTTTTAGGTAAACAATATTAGCAAAAATGACCAAAAGGGTATCATGAATTTATGATTATTCTTTTAAGAATAATGCTACAGTCACCGGGAGTAGTGCATCGAATGACATGGCGAAATTCTAACCGTCGATTAATATTAAGTTATAATTAATCAATGGTCAAGATTTCATCACATCATTCGGTGCATAAATTCGGTGCACTACTCCCGGTGACTCTCTTATTTTCCTTCCTTTAAACCTTGAGGAAATTTTTTTTTACCTTTCCAGTAAGTAGTTAGGTCCAAGTAAACAACATTAGCAACGGCCCAACAGGGCCCAAGGTTGATTTGGGAATAATATAGAAACGTGAGATTTCCACCAAATTACAGTTCCTTGGCTTATTACTACTATCGCCCTTGAGTTTAAGAAATACTGGAAAGACTCACAGGTATTAGAAATTATATATTACGTCCCCTAATTAGTTTAATTTTGACCGTTGAATTTCATGGTCAAAGGGAGGTAAGTGATGATTTTTTCAATCTGAGGAGAAGTGAATGATTGATGATTTCTCATACCTCAGGGCTCAGGGTCAGCCGGTTAGGGGTCTTGTTTAATGAATTTCCTAAACTTTGAGGGTCGTAAGGGAATTACCGTTATTATATGAGATAGAATAATGATATTACATTTACCCTCTTCACTCTCTTTTTCGGTTTTTTCTACCCTGCTCGCATCTGCGTGAACTAGAATTCTTTACTTGACTGCTTTTACAATTTTCAATCCAATTTAGAGGTGTTAAAAGTGTCTATCAACTCAAATAACTCTCGACGTCACTGAATTAAAAAAAATAAAAATGAATAACTCACAATCTAAGTTGAATTTTTTTTCACCCTTATACGTTTTCACAAAGCTGCAGTTTCACCTTTTGATTTTTTTTTCAGTCAAAACCCTAACACGGAGATTAAAATATTTTAATAATCTTTACTAGGGTTTAGGTTTGGAGAGCTATATATAAGGTCTCTTTCTCATATAACATCAATTCGCGGGCAATAAGATCTTTGGATATCAAAGAGCACCCCAATTTTATCTTTGAATCATCGGTACGTAATTTGTTTTCTCTATATGATCTGTGCTAAGATTAGGATTAGTGTTGAATCTTTGGTTGGCTATACTCCTTGTGATCTCAAATCCTCTTTCTAAAACTAGGGTTAGGGTTTGATAGAATTTTACGAAGTTTTTTAACAATCTATTATTATTTCTCTTTCTATTTGAGTTTTATTTATTATTTATGAACGATCTAATAATCTTGCTGCTTTGTTTGTTTTTTGATTTAGGAAGGGGAGGAACGTGATTGCTGAGAAGTGTTTATAAGGTTTTATATCTTTACCGAGTCTTGTGGATTATTAATATATATTACTCATGGATAATTTCTTTTCTTTTCCCGGGTTTTGTTGTTCAATTGCACCCTTTTGTTGCCAAATTTATTTGATTTCTTAAATTTGGAATTGTTTTGATTATGTAATGTAACTGTTACATAACACAGGCTCTTTATAATGGTTTTATTGACGAGCTTTTCTCCTTTGACATATCAAAGTTTCGAAATGTCTTTGCTATAAACTAGATTTCTACATTTAAGGGTTACAACAGAAAAGCATAACTGTGCATGGCTAAACTGAAAGAAAATATTGCTTAGTAATTGACTTGGAAATCATCTAATGCATTTTTCTTTGGTTTCGGTGATGGTGGGAATGAAGACACTGAGGCCTGCTGTAATGGGAAAGAAGATCACAGTCCTAACACTATGGATTATTGCTCAACATATAACAGATGTTGTAGGACAAACAACTCATTACCTCCCATGGTCTCCGGAAACCAACTTTCTTGAATGGGACAAGAACAACACTATATACGTTAATGACAGAATAGGTTAGATTCTCTCTCTTTTTCCTTTCGTGTTATCTTCTATGTCACTGATAGCTAGGAATATCGAGGAGACTAACATTTCATGCATCTTAGTTAGCAATCCTAAATCCATACATAATACTTTTAACGATAAAGATTGCATCCATAACATTTGACTTCTTGTGCATCAATTCGTATTTCTTGAGCTAAAGGTAAGTTACGTGTCTCTTGATTCTTTGCTCATGTGCCTTTAGAGACTCCAACATTAGTTGATGAAAAGCATGTACTTGCAGATCTTGGATTCTTCATTAATTTGTAGTAGCTATGTGTACACATTTTGGAGTAAAACTTGAATTTTTTCAACTAATTTTTCTTCTTGAATCTCATCACCGAATATTCTAATTTGGTTGAGATTTTCTTATACTCTATAGAACATTGTTGAATGCTTTCACTTTCTTTGATTTCTAAATGATCACAGTCCCTCTACAGTGATTGCACATTAATGGAGATGGCTTGGTAGATCCTTCAAACTCCTTTTTTTAGACTTTACCATGCATCTTTTGACTGCAGTTTTTTCACAATTTTTGCACCTTTAAAAATGAGCTCCTTCTTCTTGATAGCTATCTTCGAATCTTCGATTAATCCCACAAATATTGAGACACAATTTTTCTTCGTACGAATACTTCTAGCTGTATAGATAGTGAAAGAAAAAAGAAGGCTTGTTTTGTGAAGTTAGTGTGGATTTTTATTAAGGCTGTGATACCACTAACAGGTATTGTGCAGTTAAAGAGTTTTGAAAGAAAATATTACCCTCCACGGTGTTTAGTAGAGCCCTAAGTGTCTTTGTTTTATTAATAAATTCAAAGAATTTGCATGATCATAATGGTTTGAATGTGCTATCATATGACTTGTTGGAGCAGTGTTTAAATACGAGCCGAGCTATACCCTTACTGAGGTGAATTTCCGTGGATACATAAATTGCAATACTACAAACCCAATTAGCAATTATGAGGATGGTCTTACCCAGATGGAGATGACTCAAACTGGCACACGATACTTCATCAGCAGTGCAACTGGGAGCTGCAATTTCAAGCACTTCTTCGTTGTGAAATCTCGTGATTTGCTCACGACTAGTCTTGTAGCTCATATGACCTTACAAGTTCCGCCTGCTCCAGCTCTGGCTCCAGTACCTTATATGAATTCTGGTGGTGGTGGTGATGGCATAGCGATTGTCAATATTGTTTGGATTATTATTGGTGGCTTAATGTTAGCATATTGAAATGAGACAGATTTGTTTTTGCGGCTGTTTTATTTATTTATTTTTGTATTAAAATTGTTTTAAAGATTCATTTAGGGTTTTGGATGTAAACGCTTGAATAGATGATTAAAATGTGAATTTCAATTTTTGGGACATTTGATGATGAATTAATTTGTTTCTTCTTACAATCTGGTTAGAATATATTTTTATTATAACATAGAATATGAATCGCAGCTTCTTCTTTAGGGTTTATCTACCGGATTTTGAATGCTATTGAATGCAAGTGCGGGATGATTGGTTGATGCATTGGTGCAGCAGCAGTGTAAATGCTGCAACTTTAAAGAGAAATGAAAGATAACCTAAATCAAATTGGCGTTCATCATCTGAGAATTATTCCTGTTTTGAATGGACTCCCACCTATTCAAAATTTTACTTGCCATTCTGTCTAAAAGTCAGAATCCAAATCCCAATGGGCCTTTTGTGGGCTATATTCTGTCCTTCAGTATCCACCGGACCTTAGTGGTCTTTTCCACAAAAGGGAAACTTCTTTGTTTATAATATGAGCTTATTCATAAATTTAACAAAGCACAATATAGTATACATGAAACGATTCTATCTCATTATAAATTGGAAACTGTCACTTAACCTATTTTGATGTAACATTTGGGACACAGAAAGCAATTACTTTAGCCAAGTAATATTTATATAACACATGATAATCTTGTATCGCATTCAAAAATTAATATTAGGAAAACGGGAGTACCATTAGTAGCATATATAGTGTTTGGTTACTGGGAAAATAGACAAGAAAAAACTTCTTCATTTTGTTTAAATGCATCGGGAAACCAAATAATTAAAACAATAATAGGCCATTCTTTTGTAATCATAAGTAGAAATGAAACATAAATTTAACTGTAAGCCATGCAATATACAATAGAAAAACTAGTAAATCATTACTCTGACTTAATGAAAAAAGGAAAAATAAGAAATAGAAAAGAAAGAAAAAATCAACAGATTTTCTTTCTATTTTCCTAGTAGCCAAACAAAAAGAAACACAGAGAAAAAAAATATATGGTGAAGGCTATTTTGTAATTGAAGGCAAAAATTTTAAGTTTGAATTCATCACATTTAAAATCATTTTTAACATTTGGTTTCGTTTAGATATATATAAATTTTGTGACGAGAATTAATACAGAATTATTTTTTGTTACATTTGATATTGTCTTAAATATTTTCAATTGTAGTAAAATTCATTTTCAATATCATTTAAAGAAAATAAAATAAATTTTATTTTAAAAAAATAAATTAGTACTATTATAATTATTAAATACATTTAAATTTTTAAATGAAATTATAATGCTGAATTTATTTTTAATTATTATATTAAAATTTGGTTTGAATAGCACAAAAAAAAAAAAAAAACCGGTTTAGGCCAACTCAAGTGGTCCAAGGGCTTCAGTCGGTGGGCCCGGCCCTGGGCCAACGTGACTCAGGCTTGAGCCACTTCCAAACCCAGAAAAATGCAACATTTTTGCATTCCTTTTCTCTTCCATCAATTTTTACACCATTTTCAAGTATAAATTTTTTGATAATAAAGTATATAAAGTTTTTTAAAATTTTCTTAAAATTAATAAAGAAATCTCTTCAAATGGGTTACCATAATTTTTTTAGTCTCAAAATATTCTAGTGGTCAACAATTATGTAAATCAAGAACTTTGTGGTCCTTCCTAATGGCTAATAATGGAATTTGTGCATTTTTACATATCACTCTCAAGTCTCAATGATATTAATCTCTGAATATAGTACTTGCTACATCATGAAATTTAAAAAACAACACAAAAAAACAAAAAAAAAAACAACTATATGTAACCGGCTTCATCTTCTAGAAAGTAATGTCGTGTGATGACTTGAGAAAGGAATTGATTTAGTTTTACAGTAATTGAGCCACAATATGCATGGTGGGTCTAGACTCTGGATTTACATCTAAGCATAAAAGGGCCACCTCCTTTATGGAAATCAGTTTGTTCTGAACTTCCAGGGAGGGAAACAGAAGCCTTGGATCCAACATATCACCAAGCTCCATGTTCATGTTGGCAGATGAATCTAGAATTTGAGAGAGAAAATCTCTTGGATGCTTCCCTTGGATTACTTCCATTGCCAACACTCCAAAGCTATAGACATCGCATTTCTCTGTTACCTTCATTGTGTAAGCAAGCTCTACAAAAAATGAAATATATGTATCACAAGAAATTGATTGTTTTGATCTATTTAACTAAGAGAAGTAATGGTGAAGAGATTATATATAAAGATACCTGGGGCAACATATCCGTATGTGCCAGCAAGTTCGGTCCAATTGGACGAGTCTGGGTTAAGAAGCTTAGCTGTTCCAAAGTCCGACACATGAGCTTCATATTCCAAATCTAGCAGTATATTCTTGCTTGATATGTCTCGATGGACGATCGGTGGGAAACAATCGTGGTGCAGGTAAGACAAGGCATGAGCTACTCCTTTTATGACATTCACTCTCTTACTCCAATCTAGTTCCATTGCTGCTTTTTCACTGTTCAGGATTGAGGCTAAGCTACCCCTTTCGAGATACATGTAAACTAAGAATGAGTGTCGAGAATGTGAACAAAAGCCAAAAAATTTCACGATATTTCGATGCCTTATCACTGTTAATGCTTGTATTTCACTTAAGAACTCTTTTTGATTTGCTATATAATCGGTAGACAGAGAGTGAATTTTCTTAACTGCTATAGTATTCCCTAATAGTTCAGCTTTATAAACATTTCCTTGACCACCCATCCCAATGCAATAATCAGAATGAAAATCATTAGTTCCTTTCACAATTTCTTCATACATCCTTTTTCCTTCAAAAATTGAAATTGAAAAGACGTCTCCATCATTCTCATGGCTTTCTACTTCTTGCGAGTCCCTTTTCCTTCTCCGGGAACTATTGAGAATTCGGATTACCACAACTGAAAAAACAAGCACTGCTAAAATAGGGAACAATATTACCAGGAAGATCAACAAACCCTTGCTCACTCCATGTTTGCCTGATTCGGAAGCTTTGGAAGAATTGCAAGGTTGCAATCCGACAACATCACCACACAAATCTTTGTTCCCTTGTAATGCTTCAATGGAAGCATTTCGAAACGCTGTGGAATTTGGAATTGGACCCTCCAACTCATTATAGGAAATGTCAATGCTAGACAGGGCAAACATATTTTGAAATCCTCCTGGAATGAACCCAGAAAGGTTATTGTGGGAGAGATTTAGCTTTTGCAAAACCTCCAAATCACATATTTGAGAAGGTATCTTTCCTCTGAGTAAATTATAACTCAAATCTAGCTCTGAAAGTTGACTTAGCTTTCCCAAATGAGGTGGAATTTCTTGGGCAAACTGGTTGTTGCTCAAATTTAAGGAATAGATTTTCAACAAGTTCCCTAAATTTTCAGGTATTGATTTGGTCAACTTGTTAGCAGACAAGTCAAGACGAGTGATGCCTGAGAGGGATCCAATTTCCAGAGGTATACCACCAGAAAGTTTGTTCCCATTCAAAATCAACTCCTCTAGCAGACTCAACTTTTCAAGTTCTTTTGGAATCTCTCCAGCTAGAAGATTTGAAGAAAGATCAAGTCTACCGAGTTTTGTTAAGTTTCCAAGCTCCGCTGGAATGCTGCCAGTAATTTTATTAGCTGCAATCTTTAGGGTGCCTAATTTTGCACACTTTGCCCAGTTAGACGAGATTTCACCATGAAAATTATTTTGGCTGAGATCTAAGTACTCGAGGTGTGGATAGATGCCAAAATCTTCTGATATATTACCAACAAATTCATTTTTTTCCAGGCGGAGTCTCTTTAGGCTTGTGCAATTTCTCAAGCCTTTGGGGATTGGACCTTGAAGATGGTTGCCATTCACAGTGAAGTTCTCAAGTGAACCACTATGGCAAATATTTTGGGGTAAAAAACCAGTGAAGTGGTTGTTATCAAGTGGCAATACAGACAAGTTCTTGAGATTTCCAATTTCTTGAGGAATTGAACCAGAAAGAGCATTGTTACGGAGATAAAGAGTTTTTAAATCGCTTAAATTACCAAAAGAAGGAGGAATACGACCACTAAGCTGATTTTCGCTTAATTCTAAATACATAAGAGACTTCAAATTTCCTATGTCATCAGGAATTGATCCAGAAAGTTGATTATTGTACAATTGAAGAAGGATGAGGTTTTTCAAACCGCCTAGTAACATTGGAATTGAACCAGAAAGACTATTGGAGTAAAGACTTAATTCTGAAAGAGATACAATATTTCCTAATTCTTGAGGAATGGAACCAGAAAATTGGTTTTTGAACATGTACAATATAGTTAGGTTTCTCAGGTTTCCAAAACTTGAAGGGATTAGACCAGTTAAGCTATTGGTATCTACATCAAGTTCAACGAGATTGGAGAGGTTTCCCATCTCTGGAGGAATTGAACCAGAAAGTGAATTATTGAAAAGATACAAAATACCCAAATTGCTCAAATTACTCAAAGAAGTAGGAATTGAACCATCCAAATGGTTACCAGACAAGGTAAGCTCATTAAGGGAACTCAGTTGGCCTAATTCTTGTGGAATTGAGCCATTTAATTGATTATCACCTAGGTGGAGGGTTTCTAGCTCTCCTAAGAGGGTAATTTCAATAGGAATTTTCCCATAAAACTGATTCATTGACAAGTCAAGATACTTCAGTTTTGAGAGATTACCTATTTGTGTCGGGATAACACCAAAGAGTTCATTTATGCCAAAATCAACATATTCAAGATTAGGAAATGATGAGAACGACAATTCATTGAGCGTACCTTTTAAACCTGAAATAGACATGTTAAATCTATCGATTCTTCCAGCAAGGTTGCAAGAAATTCCAGACCAACTACAAGGGCTTGTTCTGTTTCCAGGTTGAGTAGAATTATTGGTGGCGTTTACAGGAGAAAGAGTCCATGAAGACAGGGGAGGACGGTTCCGGTTTTGAAGGCTGGCTTTCCATTTTAGAAGAGCTTGTGCTTCTTCAGTAGAGTCAGAAGCAACATGGCGAGAAAATTGAAACACAACAATCAAGATCATACAGACAAGTGAGATTGCTCTCTCCAAGGTTGATAAAGCCATTGTTTATTCAACTTCTACTTGATCCAAAGCTAATTCAGAACTCAGATATATATAAAAAAAAAAAATCCATCAAATTTAGTACAGTCATCAAGACTTTGCAAAAGTCTTTGCAGCATATTTAAAAAAATTCCATGAAATGTTTTAAAAGAAGATGACACTCCAGGGCACTTTTCAAAGTAGCGTGTTAGATTTCCTTAATGACCATAATTATAAATTAAGCCAAGTGAGACTTTGATGCCCACTTCTCCGTCTCAAAAGTCTTGATTTGTAAAATGTAATCTTGCAATATCCAACGCCACTAACTTTTTTTCATTTTAAACAATGACTTACACAACTTTATGGGAATAAATATATAAGTCAACCATCCGAAGTCAAGGTCTTTGTCTTTTAGTGGATGCATTTTCAAAAGTATTTTGGGGTGCGTTTGGCTTATAATTTCTGCTCATATTCTCAATCCTATTCTCCAAATAATGTTTGACACATTATTCTAGAAATATTATCCTATTTTTTAAATTATTTTTAGACCCCATAAGGTTATTAATTTTATTAAATACCTCCTAAAAAAATTTTAAAAATTAACAAAAATACCCCCGTGACCCATACTTGCCAGATTCCGACAACCACCATCAGTGGTAGCCGAAATCTGCCATACTAACCGGAACTAGTCGGTAATTCACCGATCTGGCATTTTCCAGCCAGATCCACAATGGCTCTGCCAGGAAAAGGCCAGATCTGGCTGTCAGTGACGACCAAAGATATAGCCGTCGTTGTCGGTCAACGATGGCCAAGATTTGACCATCGTTGACCGACAACGACAGCCATATCTTTGGCGGTGACGGCCAAAGATGGCCTTCTTTGGCCTTTTTCGACCGTCGACGACTACATATGGCCGTAGATCTGGCCTTTTCCGGCCAGATTCGTGGTGGATTTGACCGGAAAAGGCCATAGCGACGCCATGCTGGCCAGATCCGGCCGGTATGTGTGGTTATATAATTTTCCGGCCAAATTCTGGTGGTGGTGGTCAGAATCTGGCACTGTAGGTGGTGGGGGTCTTTTTGTCATTTTACATATTTTTATATATTGGGGTATTTATGAAATTAGCAAACTTAAGGGGTTTTTTTTATAAAATTTTAAATTTTACCTCGTAATACTCCTATATTCAATTATCCAATACTATTCTTAAAATCCTATCCAAAATAATAAACCAAATGCACGATTGATTATTGTAAAGTGTTAGGCCCTCTTTGATTGCTATGCTTCAGGATAATTTATCTCTACCACTTATTGGCTAAAGAGGACCTACCTCTTTACAATAATCAAAGTTTTTATGCAAAACAATGTTCGTTTTGTTGTTTCTTTCAAATACTAAGGAAGAGATTCATCTATGTATATAGACACAAATTAAATATTTGATGCCAGTAAAAACCTTTAAGTAACATTTTCTTTCTTTATGACTAGCACTAGTAGTGTTCAATCATCATCCATGAACAACAAACAAATCCTGAATCCCTCAAACTTGAAATGATTAATTAGAAAATTTATACCATGTGAAAAACATTAGATATACTTTGAATTGGTCATGTTTAAGAAAATATTTTGAGCGTATTTTTCATTAATTAGAGTCCCCCTCCATCACGGAAGCTTCAGTATTAATTATAAAATATAAAATCCAGTCCGTGTTTCATTCAAACAATGTATAGTAATTGGGGTAGAATTTTGATTTGGAAAAAAACAGTAAATGGTCTTCTTCCTTACATCTTCAAAATCTTGTTTGAATAATTTGGATGGTCAAAGATACATTAATGATTTTTGAAAATTTCTCTCCCTCCAGTCCTGCTAAATAAATAATTTGGATAGCTTGTGTTAAGTGCCAGCTGCACTGTTTCAACAACTAATTGAGAATTTTTGTAACCGATCACTCTCAAGTCTCAATGTAGCTAAATTCCGAAAATATGATAATTTTTATTAAATATGTAATTTAGCTAAGCTAGTAGAAACATGACAAAACTTATTAGAATCTTACGAAAGAGTGTACAAAAGATGAGACAATTTTATAGCAATAAATATCTGAGTCAGCAGTCAAACATCCCAAGTCAAGGTCTTTCTCTTTTACTGGATGCATTTTCAAAAGTACTTTGATTATTGTAAAGAGGTAGGTCCTCTTTGATTGATATGCTTTGGAATAATTTTTCTCTGCCATTTATTGGCTAAAGACTAAAGAGGACCTACCTCTTTACAATAATCAAAATAAAGCCATAGTCACGAATAGAACACGCATTTTAAAGGCAAAGTCCACAACATGGTGCTTGAAAATCTACCCAAAATAAAGCCCTAGTCACGAATAGGAACACTATTTCTAAATATGAATCAACAACTGGTAGCTTGTGTAAGTGCCAACTGCACTGTTTCAACAACTAATTGAGAAGTTTTGTAACCGATCACTCTCAGGTCTCAATGTAGCTGAATTCCGGAAATATGATAACATTTATTAAATATGTAACTCAATAAAATACAGAAAAAAAATTTGCCTAGTTTTAGCTAAGCTAGTACAAACAGGACAAAGCTTACAAACAATAGATTCAGAAACTTAAGAAAGAGTGTACTGGAATGACAAGATTTAGTTGCACAAAAGATGAGACACAATTTGCATGGTCGGTCTAGACTGTGGATTTGCATCTAAGCATAAAAAGACCACATCCATGATGGAAATCAATTTGTTCTGAACTTCTAGGGAGGGAAATGGAAGCCTTGGATCCAACATATCATCAAGCTCTATGTTCATGTTTGCAAATGAACATGAAAATGGGGCGAGAATATCTCTAGGATGCTTCCCTAGGATGACTTCCAATGCCAACACCCCAAAGCTATACACATCACGTTTCTCGGTCACCTCCATTGTGTAAGCAAGCTCTGTAAAGTGAAAGAAATATGCAACCTTTATCATTGATTATCCAATAAGGGTAGTGTAAAATGATAGTGAAGGAATTATATACCTGGTGCAATGTATCCATATGTGCCTGCAAGTTGAGTCCAATTAGATGAGTCTAGCTTGAGAAGCTTAGCAGTTCCAAAATCTGAGACATGAGCTACATATTCCATATCTAGCAGCACGTTCTTGCTTGATATGTCGCGATGGACAATTGGTGGGAAGCAATCATGGTGCATGTAAGACATGGCATGAGCCACACCTTTTATGACATTCACTCTCTTATTCCAATCCAGTACTACTGCTCTTGCTTCGTTGCTCAGAATTGCAGCCAAGCTACCCCTCTCAAGATACTCATCGACTAAGAATGAATGTCGAGGATGTGAACAAAAACCAAAAAATTTCACGATATTTCGATGCTTTATCTCTGTCAGCACCCTTATTTCACTCAATAAATCTTTTTGATTGGCTATATCACCTGTATACATAGAGTGAATTTTCTTAACTGCTACAATATTCCCTGGTGATAACTCAGCTTTGTAAACACTTCCATAACCGCCTTTCCCAATGAAGTGATTGGCATCAAAATCCTTGGTTGCTGCTATGATTTTTTCATACATCTTTCTTCCTTTAAAAGTTGATATCGAAAGAAATTCTTCATTGTTCATCCCACTTTCTTTATCTTTTGAGTCTTTCTTTGTTCTTTTGGAACTAAAGAGTATACGGATCACCACAAGGGAAAGAACAAGAGCCCCTAGAACAGGGAAAAAAACTGTAAAAAAGATTATCCAACCCTTTTTCAGGCCATGTTTTGCTGTAGGTAAAGTTTTGCAAGGTTGTAGCCCTTTAACATCACCGCACAAATCTTTGTTTTCTCGTAGTTCTTCGATGGTAGCATGTCGAAATGCTGATGTGTTGGGAATTGGACCTTGCAACTCGTTGTTAGATATGTCAATACTCAATAGGTGCATCTTCTTAAACTCTCTTGGAATGAACCCAGAGAGGTTATTGTGTGAGATATTAAGATTCTGCAAGTCCTCTAAATCACATATTTCAGAGGGTATCTTTCCACTGAGGAAGTTATGACTCAAATCTAACTCTGTGAGTAGACTTAGCTTCCCCAACTGAGGTGGAATTTCTTGGCTAAACTGGTTGTCGCTCAAATTCAAGCTATACAATTGCAACAAGCTCCCTAGACTTCCAGGGATTGATTTGCTCAACCTGTTTGTAGACAAATCAAGACTCTTAATTTCGGTGAGTAATCTAATTTCCAGAGGTATACCACCAGAAATTTGATTGCCATTCAAAATTAGACGCTCAAGAGAAGTTAAATTTCCAATTTCTTTTGGAATCTCCCCAACTAGATTATTTGAAGAAAGATCAAGAATATCTAGTCGAGTTAAGTTTCCAAGTTCAACTGGTATACTGCCAGTAAGATTATTCTCTGCCATCTTTAGGGTGCCTAATTTTGGACACTGTCCCCAACTAGATGAGATTTCACCATAAAATTTATTATGGCTGAGATCTAGTAGATCTAGCTTTGGATAGATGCCAAAATCTTTAGATATATTTCCAACAAGTTGGTTTCCTTGCATAAGGATTCTTGTTAGGCTTGTGCAATTTCTCAAGTCTTTGGGAATTGGACCAGAAAAATTGTTGTCATTCACACTGAACCTCTCAAGTAAACCACCATGACATATATTATGGGGTAAAGAACCAGTGAAACCGTTCTGGTCTATTTCCAATATAGCCAAACTCATGAAATTTCCAATTTCCTGGGGAATGGTACCAGAAAGATCGTTTTCACGAAGGAATAAGATCTTTAAGTTGCTCAGATCTTTAAAGGAACCAGGAATAGAACCACTAAATAGATTTTGGCTTAACTCTAAATCAACAAGGTTTGTCAGGTTTCCTATTTCAGGGGGAATAGAGCCAGAAAGTTGATTTTTGTATAAATGAAGATTAAGAAGATTTCTCAAGCCACCAAGAGACGCTGGAATTGAACCTGAAAGATTGTTGCTATGAAGACTAATATTAGTGAGAGACTCCAAATTTCCTAATTCCTTGGGAATGGAACCAAAAAGTTGGTTTATGAACATGTGCAACATTTCCAGGTTTCTAAGGTTTCCAAGACTTGAAGGGATTGGACCACTTAAGCTATTGGTATCGATGTAAAGTTCAACTAGATTTGAGAGGTTTCCTATCTCTGGAGGAATGGAACCAAAAAGTGAATTATTAGAAAGAGACAACCAAGCCAAGTTGCTCAAATTTCCCAAAGAAGCAGGAATTGAACCGTCCAAGCGGTTACTGTAGATAGCCAGTTCACTAAGAGAACTTAGCTGGCCTAATTCTTCTGGAATCGAACCATTCAACTGATTCTCATCTAGGTGGAGGGTCTCAAGATTTGTAAGGAGACCGATTTCAGTTGGTATTTTCCCAGAAAACTGATTAGTTTGCAAGTCAAGATACTTCAGTTTGGAGAGATTACCAATTTGTGCAGGGATAACTCCAAAGAGTTCATTTATGCTAAGATCAAGATATGCAAGATAAGGAAATGATGAGAATGACAATTCATCAAGCGTACCTTTTAAACCTGCAATAGACAGGTTCAATCTACGGATGCTTCCGGCATGGTCACAAGAAACTCCAGACCAATTAGTACAATGACTTATCTTGCTTTTGTGTTGAGTAGAATTATTGGTAGCATTAACAGGGTAAACAGTCCATGAAGAGATGAGAGAATGGCCGCGGTTTTGAAGGCTCGCCTTCCATTTGAGAAGAGCTTGTGCTTCTTGAGTGGAATCAAAAGCAACATTTAGTTGAAAATGCAGCACAACAAAGAGGCTGAAGAAAACAGGGGAGAGTTTATTGAGGGATGAGATTGCCATTGCTTAAACAATTTAAGTTTGTGCACTGCAGAGCCTAATTCGGAAATCCATTTTTATAAACAGAATTTGGAACTCTTAAGAGCTTCGAAAATGTCAATGCACCATCTTTCACTCAAGATTTTAGAGTCAAGCCTACGTGGAAAATGGTTTCGTGCAAGTCTTTGATGTGGATATAACTAATCCTCTTTGTTCTTTATCCAGGATAAAAGATACTCTAGGATCTTATATTTTCACAACAGAAAATCCTGATTTCTTCACCAGGATATATACTGAAGTAAAGAAAAAAATGCAAGAATAACGTTAACTTTCTTTCACCCTCAATTTGTATCTCAAACTTGTTTATGACAAGGGTTTTTGTATAAAATCCATTGACAGCAGATTTTGATTCCACATTTCACCTTTATTCATCTTAATTCCACTTGTCAGCATTTCCGAGTCTTTACGCTTAGTGGGCACAATCAAGTTATAAAGATTTGACATAAATAAAAGCTACAAAATCATTATCAAGTCATCAATTTAGTTCTTTGTCTTGTACTTTATTCATTTTCAAAATGCGTGTTTGACTATTGTACTGAGATTGATATGTTCCTCCCCGTAACTGATTAGTGAAGTAATGCTAGAAAACACTAGCGTATCTGGTAATTTTAGCAGAGGAAGGTAAATACGTTAACCCTTGGACTGTAATTTATGGATGAGTTCACTTACAATATGAGAGTAATATTACTGATATGAATCATTGGATCATCATCTCTAGACATATTTCTTTAACAGTATCCCAGTGATCGGATTGTTTGGTGATAAGAGTTTTCCTAAGCTTTTACGGAACTTTTTTTCTTCTATTTATCTTTATTATTAATCAGAATTTCAGAAATCACAATCATATAGTTTTAAACTTGTTTCACCTTTTATTCATCTTGACGACACTTCTCAAGACTTAAGCGTATAGTCTTTGTGAGTATAATTTGTGTTATTGACTTAATTACCCAAACTAAACGGATGCCTGCATTATCAGCAATTAGGCAACACCACAAATGTTGCCTTCAAGACTTGAAGCATCAAAATCACTACCAAGTCAATTGAGGTATCTGTCTTGCACTGAATGCCTGCATTTTCAAAATGCATGTTTGAATTTTGTAAGGTGATTGTTATGTTCTTTTTCGCAAATGACTCTACCGCAAGCTAGTATTGTTAACGGTTAAATACTCTCGAACCATATGATCTAAAAATATCATAATCAACCTTTGAATCATGATCTAAGGGTAGATCTATCTATAATACTAAAATAACGTTATTCAATACTCTGAGAATATTTCTTTTAGTATAATTGATCCCATTAATCTTATAACGGTAAATATCACTTCCTTTCCCCTCATGTTATATATGGCCTAAATTTTCCCCTGAATTTACTAGTCGAAACCAAAACTTTTGCCTTTAGAAACTCAAAAATAATAAGTTATTTTACTCTAGAAACAAATTTGGTCCATTGCGAAAATTAACAATATAGTGTTTGAGATATGGTTAATTAGGAAGCCTCTTATATCCTATTTGGTTTCATTTTTATTTAATTTTACATTTCAAAAAGCAACAAAAACCTTTTAACTGATTTGTTTTACATTAAGTTTTGAAGAAATAATAATTTAAAGCGCAATGCTATTTGACCCCACTGAATTTCTTAAGATATCCATGTTAATAATTCTTTTAGATTACAATATTATCCTCAATCAAAATTACATTAAAAGGCAAATATAATCTTAAAAAAAAAAACTGCAACCACAATTTCAATTATAAATTTTTTTAACGGTTTTACTTAATCATCATGAAGGGTTATGAAAGAATTTCAAATAGGTACAATTTATAATCATCGCTTTGTACACTGCTATTGAAGATATAATTTTAATTATAAATTTATTTTCAATTAAATTGGGGTAATTTTAATTTCAGGACAAAATTGGAATGAAGTGGGGTACGTTTAAAGATTATAAATAATTTAAAAGGGTTTAATTAAAAGCTGGGTATTGTTAGATAAAATATGGGGCTTAAATTGCATCACTCTGAACTTTGAATATATATTAAGACAAGTTTATATGATATTTTCAACATTTTAAAAGACTCTGTTTGACTGTTTCATGTATGCAAGTAATTTTTTTTTTTTTTTTAAATAAAAAGTTTCTTTATTTCTAGACATATACTATAAAGTGAAATATTTGTAATTATGTGAAGACTGCCGTAGATTTGGGTTTGCCTGATCTATCATTTTCAATTGACTCAGTTTTAGTTGGAGGGTTTATTAATTAATTTTCGTTGGTTGAATGTATATCAACTTTTCTTTAAGGTCCCCACTGGATATGGAGGAATAATTCATTGCACTACTTCCAAATTCCAATTACCAATTTAATTTTCTTTACAAGATTTAACATCTACGCATAATCTATTCCGTTCGAAAAGTAAAAGAGTTCCCACTCACAAAGAAAGTTTATCTACGAGTCAAAAGAAGCTTATATTTTTTAGATTGTTTTATTATATTTTATAAGTGTTTATTGAATTCAAAATAAGCTATTTTCCGACTTATGGGAAACATAATCTTTTTTTGAGCTTATTTAGAGTGTTAAATTTTAAAAATATCTTTGTTATATTTTATAAATTTGACTTGACTTATTCTTATTTAGTAAAGCCTTTTTTAGTAAATTAATACTCAAAAACTATAAGCTTCTTTTAGAGGGTTGCTCAAATTTCCCAAAGAAGCAGGAACTAAACCGTCGAAGCAGTTATCATAACTAGTTCACTAAGAGAACTTAGCTGGCCTAATTCTTCTGGAATCGAACCATTCAATCGATTCTCATCCAGGTGGAGGGTCTCAAGATGTGTAAGGAGACCGATTTCAGTTGGTATTTTCCCATAAAACTGATTAGTTTGCAAGTCAAGATCATTGTTTTAAAAACCGGACCGAAGGGCAAACCGCTTTGATGGTCGGGTCACAGTTCAGCCGGTCCAAGCGATTGGACCGGTGATATCATCACACATCATGATGACATCAGCACATTTTTTTAAAAACAATTTTTTTTTTAGATTTCTATTTTTCAATAAGACAATAACAACTTAATTACTGTCCAACATGATTCAAAGTTCAAATTCAAGAACAATTCTAACATAATTGAAGTATTTAACAACAATTCAAAGTCCAAATCCAAACATGATGTTGTATTTACATATCAAATGACAAAATACATAATAATTAATAACAAAACATTTGATGCAAGTGTTTTTTCTTTGATCCATCTCTATGTTGATTGAGCGTCACACACTAGCATCAAAATTCATCACCATCATCATCATCATAACCATCACCACCATCTACGCAAATTGTCCCAAAAATAACAAAAAAAAAAAAAAAATCAAGAATAGAACATGGCAATGGAATCACAGAGATTTCAATTCAGAATCCAAGATGAATAATTAAAGTTTCAGTAGCACATAAAAAGGAAGACTTACCAAAAGAGAAGAAAGACAAACAAATACCATATAATCCATTGTCACAGAGAGATATAACTACAAGAAGCTTTCAAGAAAGACAACTATGTGGTTTGTGAACAAAACAGAGAGTAATACAAAAACCATAGAAAAGTTGAGAAAAGCACAAAACAGAGGGTTTTACATACTTCAATTGTATTCTCAAAATCTACCACTGACTTTTTTGAACCATAGAAAAGTTGAAGTGCTTAAAAAAATTAACTTAGTGTTAAAACTTGAGTCTAAACTAATCAACACATAAATCAATCCAACACAAACAAGATTCAAAGAAATCAAACACCGAGAATTACACACTCAATCTGCCGAATCAGAGCAATGCTTTAACCCAAGCCTAATCACTCAATAACTCTTTATAACCTACAAGAAATCAGAGACCTATCCTAGCCTCAAGAAGGAAACGCAACCCTCTCACAAATCTGCCCAGATTACAACGAGAAAGACCCCACCAAAAAGCCCCAAATCAATTGCTCATTCAACACACAAGAACCCTAACAATTTCAGACTAAAAAACCCGATAGCTGTACACCTTCTAGCTATGGTTTACCTTTAGGTTCCATTTGGGGCCAACCCAATACACAGTGACCCTACTTCCTTTCATCAACAACCAAAAAGCACTTTGAAATGACAACTGACTTTCACAAATTGAACCCAACATTACAATACGAGTTGTGAACCTGGTGAGACTCAACTCAACTCATTTTAACTTCCGTGACTCAACAAATTTGGATAGTGCAACAGATTGAAAAATGTAAAGGGTGTTAACTTAAATGTAAAGAGAGCGAGGAATGGCGTTACTTGGATCGAGGAATGGAGCTATCGTCAACGAATGAAGCTATCATCATCGATTTTCGGCAAGGGAGGACGACGTCATCGATTTCAGAGAGTTCAAATGCGATTTGGGTGGGATTTCAGAGAGAACAGAAGACAGAGCCGAAATCTTGACAATTTTCGCCGAGAATAGAGTGTTTGCTTACAATTTTTCATAAGAAAAATGGAGAAAGATTGAAAGAGAAGAACTGAAGATTGAAGAAGACGAGAAAGGGGCGTGACTGCGTCACGTTTAGGATTTAGGGATTGTTAATATGTGGATCGGCGGTTTACTGATATTATCCGATTTTTAACCGGTTTAAAACGACTCAATGCATAGTAATGGTTTTGAGAGTGAACCGAACCAGACACGTGATTGGTTCACGGTCCAACTGGTTGGACCGGCCAGTCCAGTCTGGTTTTTAAAATAGTGGTCAAGATACTTCAGTTTGGAGAGATTACCAATTTGTGTAGGGATAACTCCAAAGAGTTGATTGATGGCAAGATCAAGATATGTAAGATGGGGAAATGATGAGAATGACAATTCATCGAGCGTGTCTTTTAAACCTACAATAGACATATTCAATCTATGGACTCTTCCAGCATGGTCGCAAGAAATTCCAAACCAAGCACAATGACTTATTTTGGTTCTGAGTTGGGTAGAA